TAACAGCTACAGGGATTACAGGTTTTGGGGGTAGCAGAGGGACTCTAACAATACCTAGTCTTTTACTTTTTAACCCAATCCCTGCACTTTGGAAACTTTAGGATGCCTGGTCTTTTACACTTTAACTCAGGCTCTGCGGCTTAGAATCAGCTTGGAAATTTTACCTTTACAATGAGAAGTTATGTTCCATTTATGTATGATCTATCAAAATGCATTCTACTGTCATGTATAACTAATTAGAAAAAATAAAAAGAATTTTAAAAATAAAATGTCAAATGCTAATATTCAGGTAGATATGTTTAAAATAAAATATGTGGGCTTTTTTCCAAAAAAAAAAGTGGTACACAAGGGAATATTACTCAGCCATAAAGAAGAATGGAATTGTTGGGGTGCAGCGGAGCGTCGGAGGGGAGAGACCACACAAGAGACTTACTTCATGCAATCGCAGGGGGGAAATTTATTGAGGATCCGTTCCAGCGCGCTGGGACTCTGTGCTCACTCAAGAAGGGAGAGCAGCTCAGAGCCCAGAGCGGAGGTCAGGTGGAGCTTAAGTACACTTTTTGGAGAGGGTGGGGGGCTTTGCATACATCAGAACAAATCATCATGAGGCGCGGGGAAATTGAACAACAATTCTGAAACATGATTAGTACATACATTGGCGGGAACAATTTGGGCAGGGGTGATTGGTCATTTCTAAGTGGGGTACACATTTAAACTGATTGGTTCTGGGGCCTAGATGCGTACGTGCCATGCTACCTAGAGCCCTTAGCTATTAAACAACCAGGGAATCAATAGAGACATTTACTAGGCAGTTCCGGCATTGTCCTAACAACTTTACAGGGATTACAAATTCCGGGGATAGCAGAGGAATTGTAACAATAAACTTGTATAATTGTAACAATTGTCTTTTACTTTTTAGCCCAGGCCTTGTAATCTAGAAGCTTTACAATGCCCTAGTCTCTTACACTTTAACTCAAGCTCTTGCAGCTTGGAATTAGCTTAGAATTTTTACCTTTACAGAATTATGGCATTTGATGGTAAATGGATGGAACTAGAGACTATCATGCTAAGTTAAATAAGCAAATCCCCCAAATACCAAGGCTGAATGTTCTTTCTGATGTGTGGATGCTAACATAAAATGTGGGGGGAGGGAAGAATAGAAGCTTATTTGATCAGACAAAGGGGAATGAAGGGAGGGGTTGAAGGATGAGAATAGGAAAGACAATAGAATGAATTGGACATAACTTTCCTATATTTATATATGAATACAGGAGCAGTGTAACACTACAATATGTACAATCACAATAATGGGAAGTTATACTCCATTTATGGATAATATGTCAAAACATACTCTACTGTCATGTATATCTAAATAAAGACCAAAAATGAAAAGCCTAAAAATAAAAAAAAAAACCTTTCTTCCTAAATTAAAACCATATTGTGCTAATTATCTTAAGAGTGATAATTTTTGCCAGATGTGGTGATACATTCCTGTAATCCTACTGGCTCTGGAGGCTGAGGCAGGAGAATCAAGATTCAAAGCCAGCCTCAGCAACTTAGTGAGACCCTGCTTCTATTTTTTTTTTAAGAGACAGGGTCTCACTGAGTTACTTAAAGCCTCACTAAATTTTTTTTAAAATTTATTTTTTAGTTTTCGGCAGACACAACACCTTTGTTTGTATGTGGTGCTGAGGATCGAACCTGGGCTGCACACATGCTAGGCGAGCATACTACCGCTTGAGCCACATCCCCAGCCCCGAGACCCTGTTTCTAAATAAAAATACAAAAATGTGCCCCTAGGTTCAATCTCTGGAACTAAAAAAGAATGATAATTTTTGATATCTGGGACAACAATGCTCTTGTTGTTACTGTTTGTCTTCTTCATTCTAAAAAGTTCTGCTTAAGGGGATCAGGATGTGGTTCAAGTGGTAGCTCACTCACCTGGCATGCATGAGGCACTGGGTTCTATCCTCAGCACTTCATAAAAATAAAATAAAGATATTGTGTCCACCTAAAACTAAAAAAAAATATATAAACATAAAAAGTTCTGCTTAAGAGTATATTGGATTTATTTGTTGAAAAAAAATAAAATAAATAAGTCGTATACCTGACAGTAAATATAATGTGGCATCCTGAATTGAGTCCTGGAAAAGAAAAATGACATTAATGGAAATCATGGTACAATGGGAAGACAAACTATATGTTCACTCAATACTTCTAAACCAGTGCCAATTACATTTTTATAAACGTACCATCTATATAAGATGTTAACCTCACAAAAAGTCAACTTGGAATTCTTTATACCATATTTCAAATTTTCTGTAAATCTAAAATATTTCAAAATAGATTGTGCAAAGCAAAACAAAAACAAAAAAAAGTTAAGGATGTAAATTTAAAAAGACAAACGTAAACAAAAAAAGCTTAACCTCGGGGAATAACAGGCCATATACAGAGATTGTAGGAATGCAGCTTTCTTTATCCACCAACCATTCCAAGAACAGGTACACCTGATTCTGGAAGACAACCATCAAGATCCAGGGACTCTGGGATGGGGTTGTGGCTCAATGGTAGAGCACTTGCCTAGCATGTGTGAGGCACTGGGTTCAATTCTCAGCACCACAAATAAATAAATAAAAATAAAGGTCCATTGAAACTAAAACATATTTAAAAGGAAAAAAAAAGGTCCAGAGACTCTCCTGACCCATCATAGTCCCATTGATCAATCAGTGTTTCAAATGACAGGCACCACTTCTTCAAAGCTAGATTTCTGTACATCAAATTTCCCAAAAAGTCCCATTTTGACACCAGCTGTTAGTGTATCCTAATATTCCAGTTAAAAACTCACTGGGAGACATGTTTTCTAAATATTGGAAATCACAATAGAGATATATCAGTGTCAGAAAACATAAATGATATTTCTGAATACAGCAGGTAATTTTCTTCATACAAGGCTTCTTTCTTCTTATTTGCAAATAAAAACTGCCTTCAGGCCTTTGAGAAAATCATGAGACAATTAAGCTTTCTCTATAGCCCCCATAATGAATTCTTTGGAATCTACTGATACATTTTTAATTGCATTACCCATCAAACCCAAAAGCCAGAGTAGGAATTGCCATGGTAGCAGGAGAGCAGGGTACAAAGAAGAATGTCTGTAACTATGGTGATGTAGGAAGGTTCCTGCTTACAAAACCCTGGAAATTAACCATTAGACACCAGGTTTTTGGAGGGTTCTTTTTCTTTTTTATTTTTAGCAGCACTTGGGGATTGATCACAAGAATATTCTACCACTGAACTATATGGGCCCAGCCCTTTTTTATTTATCATTTGGAGACAGTATTCACAGTATATGTCATGACATACTGTAATGTTTTCACTGAAATAAAGTTCAAAATGGATTCAACAAGTTGTTTAGCAAATACAGGAACTCCTGTTATACTGAAATGAATTCAATAAACATGCATGTTTCATAATGATGAATTTAAATGAAACTGACTGACTTTTATCATGGACCAAACTGTGAGCTTGGATGAGTGTAAAGTTTTTGTGATTTATAAATTCTCCAAATATCATCTTGTAAAAATCACCTCCCTAATCACAGAAGTTAATCAAGTTAGCTGTATTTCTTACCTCTAGGTGTCCTGGACGAAGGATCAAGTTTCCTCTCTGAAACTATGAAAATGATTTGGAGTACAGAACCCATAGTCATGACTAGTGATCATGAAAGCAAGAACTTGACATTGAAGAACTATGAAAGTGAAGAATGCAGTGCCATAGTGTTTCAGTCTGTTTTGCATTGCTGTGACCAAAAAACCTGAAGAGAAGAACTTAGAGGAGGAAAAGTTTATATTGGTTCATGGTTTTAGAAGTTCAGTCCATGGTTGGCCAACTCCATAGCTCTGGGACTGAGGTGAAGCAAAACATGGCAGAGGGGCATGGCAGAAGAAAATAGCTCAGGACATGGAAACCAGGAGCAGAAAGAGGGATGGGTGGGGAGGGGGCAAGAGCTAGCTCTGCTCACCAAGGACACAATATAAACCCTAAAGGCAAACCCTCAGTGACCTACTTCCTCATTCACATCCTACCTGCCTACAGTTACCATCCAGTTAATCAATATCAGTGGATTAATACACTTATTAGGTTACAACTCTCAATCTAATCACATTACCTCTGAACATTGTCTCACACTTGGGCTTTGGGGTCACCTTATATCTAAACCATAACACATAGCATTGTAGTCATTGAAGACATGGATCCTGGAAGTGAACCCGGTGCTGCCCAGAAAAGAGCTGTGACTATGTACAGGGAGCTGCATGAGGTGCATGGGCAGTTCATTTTTTAATCTAGCATATATAAAGTCATCAACCATGTGATTCCATCTCTTAGATCACTTAAGGGATAGCTGGGCATATATGTATTTATTTATTTATTTATTATCAAGTTTTCTCCAACTGTGCACAAAAAATTGTGATTCCTCACTTGACTCTGCCTTTCAAAAACCTGTCTACATTTTACTATGATTTCCATTAATGTCATATCTGTAGTCCCAGGTACTTGGGAGTCTGAGGCAGGAGGATTATAAATCCAAATCTGCCCTAGGCAATTTAGTATTACACAAAAGTTCAAATACAAAGTATCCTGATGAAGTAAGAATCAAAGACAGGCAGTCAGTGTACAGTTATCCTAACAGAAGGGCAAATGCTCAGCATGAGTCCCTGTAAAAATCAAAAGCAAGTTATATCTATCCAATATATAATGGTACAGAGAATACATTCCCATTGCACAGGGAGAAATAGGGGCACAGAATGAAGAGATGGTACCAAAGCAAGACAAAAATCCAGCGAGATGGACAAGTTCTGGGGCACATGGTATTATGATGTTCTCTCAAAGGGCTTGTGTAACTCTGTTCCTATGGCTCTATTGCTTATAGCCCACCCGGCCTCTCTGTTGGCTTGTCTCTGTTCAACTCCTGTTGCTTTCCTTAGCAGAAATCTCACGTTACTGGCATCTCTTAATCTTGTGGGACCCCGCTTACATCTTTAACATATTACCTTTTCAGGAGCAGCCTAGAGCGACTCCAACCCTGCTATGCTTTATCTGGTCTCACCAGCCTTTCCATTGAAACCTCTCCATGGAACCTTTATGACTCCCTAACTCCAGCATCCTCCATTCCTGCAAAATCAGCACAGTGAAACAATTTCCTAGGTTCCCCTGTACAAGTAGCCCCGTCCCCATAGTCTCTTCTCAAATGAATTTTTTAAAAAATATTTTTAGTTGTCGATAGATCTTTACTTTTTACTTATTTTTATGTGGTTCTGAAAATCGAACCTAGTGCCTCACACATGCCAAGCAAGTGCGCTACCGCTGAGCCCCAGCCCCAGCCCCTCAAATGAATTTTTTTTCTATAAAAATCGGTTTTATTAAAAAAAATTATAGATCCATATCCCTGATGAACTTAGATGCAAAAATACTTAATAAAATATTAAGAAATAATGTTCAACAACATATTAAGAAGATACATCATGACCCAGCTGGCAAATGAATTTTTAATTTTATATCCTTGAGCCTGAGATGGGTTTGTTCTTGCTAATTCCTAATATGCCTTTAAATCATCTTTCCTATTGTTTGGGGGTAGGGTATTTAGCACTTCTTAGTGGCTATAATGTCTTTAATAGCACATCTTACTTAGCCCCAGTTTTACTTGCATTTTTCTAGTCAAATTATAAGTTTGCAAAAACTTTCTACTCTGCTTTATGCTTATGCTTATCAGTGAGCTTGGTTAAAAGTTGCCAGCAATATATATGCCACTGTCTGAATGTTGTAATGCCTTGAAATTTCCTCTGACAGATAATTAGTTCCTCATCTTTAAATTCAGCTTCAAAACTTTGACCTAATTTTCTTAGTTCACTGTGGTATATTCATAAATATACTTTAGTTCTGAGAAGAACTAAACACAGGAGGAAATGCTTACTTTAACTCATGGTTTCAGAGGTTCATTCCATAGTTGGACAGTTTCAAAGCTCCAGGCCTGAGGTGAGGCAGAACACTATTGCAGAAAGGTGTGGCAGAGGAAAGCAGTCAGAATATGGCAACCAGGAAGCAGAGAGAGAGAGAGAGAGAGAGCTTCATTCACCCAGGATAAAACATAAACCCCAAAGGCATGCCCCCAGTGACCTATCTCCTCCAGCCACACCTTACCTGCTTATGGTTACCACCCAGTCAAGCCATATCCATGTATTAATCCACTGATTTGGTTTTGGCTCCCATAATCTAATTTCACCTCTGAAGATTCTTGCCTTGTCTTACATAAGAGCAATGTAAAGCATGGTGGGGGATAATACATGTCCAAACCAAAACAGTAATGTATTAATTTGTAAATTATTGTCAATTCCATCAACCTAATTAACATATCTGCCACCTTAAAAATCAGCTTTTTAAATCATGATATTCTAGGTGTATTTGTCTTATGAGTCCCATAAAATTTTCTTTTCTTTTCAACCAGAGGTATTTCAGATAAAATTTCTAGAAAACACTAAAATGAAGTTTTATAAATGCAAAATAATTATGAATGCATTTTTAAAAACAGATGAAAAGCATTAATACATAATACAAAGTACAAATTTGTAGATAACATACATCTTATGAAAAAAGTTAAATTTATACATGTGTTAAACATTTACATACATACAATGCAAGAAAACTCACCTTGGGTTATAATGTAGAATGACTTGTGAATGAACTTCATATACAAAAAAATACATACACAAGGAGGTCAGGGAGCAGATATCTTTGCCTTTGTAGCCACATACATCTCTGTGCTTGCCCAGGAAGCACTCAGGAATATTTTCACAGGCTCTTATTGTTGTTGCAGTTGCTGGGGGAGAAGAAAGTCCCAGAGGCTTCAGGAAACAGGGAAGAAAAATGAAGATTGATGACTTTGAATAAAATTCACTAAGGGAGTGCTGAGGTTGTGGCTCAGTGATACAGTGCTTGCCTAGAACATGTGAGGCACTGGGTTCAAACCTCAGCACCACATAAAAATGAAATAAGGGTATTGTGTCCATTTACAACTAAAAAACAAATATTTTTTAAAAATTCACTAAGGGTATTCAAGATGGCAGAAATGAGGTAGATCTGAACTCCTATGCAATTTGGAATCAAAGCATTGAGAGAACAGATGATGGGAGAGATAGTAACAAAGGGAATGCACTATTTCATAATAAGGCCAGATACTTAAAAGAACTTGGAAATTCTGGTTATTGCAACAGAAAACAGGAAAGAATTTGCACTATCAGGGCAGGTCTGGGGGCAGGAGAAAAAGAGGGAGGGGCAAGGCTGATTAGCTTGCTTTGGAAACAAGTAAGATAGATATAACAAGTCATGCAAAGTCACCTGGTGAAAAAGAACTCTCCACTTTTTTCTAAATATGCTGGTAGAGAATTATGGCAGGGATTTATTTTGCAGAGATTACATATCAGCTTACAGTTTTGGAGATGATTAAATCTCTATAGCTCCTGCCTGGTAATACCAATTGATAATGTCATAGGGAAGGCCTTTGAAGCCTTTGAAGGCTGGATATTTTAGTCAACTATTTTTGCTGCTGTGACTAAAAGACCTTACAAGAACAATTTTAGAGGAGGAAAAGTTTATTTAGCACTCATGGTTTCAGAGGTCTCAATCTACAGATGACCAACTCCATTGCTCTGGGCCAGAGATGAGAAAGAATATCACGGCAGATGGGCATGACAGAGTAAAGCAGCTTAGAGTATCATACTAGGAAGCAGGGGGTGGGGGAGAGCTCCCCTGACCACATACAAATTTCAAACCCCAAAGACATCCCCCCCAGCAACCCACCTCTTCCAGTCACGGCCTATATATCTACAGTTACCACTCAGTTAATTCTCATCATGGAATTAATGAACTAATTATATTAAGTCTTTCATAACCAGTAATTTCACCTATAAACATTCTTGCATCATCTCACACATGAGTATTTAAGGGATACCTAATATTTTAACAATAACACTGTCAAAGTAACCTATGTAGTGGGATTGCCCTGGCCACTGTCTTGGCACCCCAGCTACCAGCCTGCCCTACGACTTCAGAATGCTGTCTTGCCAAAAGCACCAAAAATTACACGGGTGAGCCCACACCTGTTTTTAGAATTGTGAATGAGTGTGCACGAAAGAATTTTCTCCAATTAAAATACTTTAGCAAAGAGAAAACTTAATTTATGAGTGTTGTTGCATCTGATATTTTATAGGGAGTGTTTTAAAGCATTTTTAATGGTTCCACATAATTTTATATATTCTATTAATTAATTGGGCTTTTCTTGACACCTATTTTTTTCCTTCTCATCCCCATTTTCTTCCTTTTCTCTCTTGCCTTTCTTTCATTTTTCCTTCTATCTCCCTTTCCTCCTCCACTCTTATTTTCCCCTTTCCTTTCTTTCTCTTTCAATGTAATTTACTAAAACGTATACTATAATTAATACTTAACTTCTCAGTCTATCTATATTATTCTCACCCACTTGTCTCATTAGGTAGTAGATTTGCAGAGATCATGAGCAATAAGTTTTAAATATATTTATATATGATTTTCCTTGAAATGACCACTGTTATTGGTGGTTACTTTCTCCTCTCAAAGTGGTGCTGGTAGTTGAACTTAGCATTTTTGCCAAAGGCCAATGTCTCGGCTTGGCACCAGAATCACGAGGCACTCACAGCTTTGTAGGTTCAAACAGCAATTCTTTATTCCCGCTCTCACATCGCCTCCACACAGGTCCAGGGGCAAACGCGTTCTGCAGTCTCCCGCACAATCCACCTACTCCACGAGGCTCTCTCCAAATCCCATTTTAATCTCACGAGAACTCAATGGGAACAAGCAGCAGGAACACCCTAATCCCAGCAATAATCTTCAACCGCCAACTTCCCTAAAACCCATAATCTTAAACTGGCAACGCCTTAAACTCAAGGAGCCGGTTACTTCCTCAAACCTGATCAGCTCTAAACCCGAATCCGCCTTGATCCTTGAGCAAGGTCACCTTATTAAAGCATGCATGCAATGTCCCATCGAATGTCCTCTAAGCAGCATGGGGTACGCTTGGCAAGGAAATTTCGATGCGTCATTCCTACTTGGTAATGGCCCTCAGCACATTTTGATTACAATGAATGGATGTGTTGATGTTAAGACATATACCCATTCCAAGTCTTATGATAAGGTGCTAACTAACCACTAAAAGACCTTCACATAAGAGGTGGAATCCATCACAATACATGCATAAACAACAAGAGGCTGACAAAAGTTTGTAAACCATCCCCACAAACTGAATCTGCTGGCATCAAAGTGCCTGGAATACTAGAAAAAAAGAACTCAAAAAGTTTTTTTTTTAATATTTATTTTTTAGTTGTAGTTGTCAATACCTTTATTTTTTATTTGTTTTTATGTGGTGCTGAGGATCGAACGCAGGGCCTTGCATGCACTAGTGAGTGCTCTACCACTGAGCCACAACCCCAGCCTCCCCCAAAAAGTTTTTTTTAAGTACTCTGAACCAAAATAAGACAAAAGGAATTGAAAGGGTAAAGTTTCTAAGCTGGAAAGCTTGAATTAAAATGTAAAAGATTAGGTATTATTAAAAATTCCTCTGTTACACCCAGATTCCTGAGATAGTTAAGACAACGCCCTACTGGCCATTTAGCCTAGGGCCCTGTGCAATTTGTCACAGGGCCCGAACCAATCAGTTTGAATGTGTACCCCGCTTAGGAATGACCAATCACCCCCGCCCGACCTGTTCCCGCCAATGAATGTGCCAATCACGTCTCAGAGTTGTTGTTCAATTTTCCCGCACCTCATGATGATTTGTTCTGATGTATGCAAAGCCTCCCGCCCTCCCCAAAAAGTGTACTTAAGCTCTGCTTGAACCTCTGCTCTGGGGCTCTGGACCGCTCTCCCTTCCTGAGTGAGCCTCGAGCCTCAGCGTGCTGAATTAGGATCGTCTTCAATAAACTCCCTCCTGCCCATTGCATGAAGCTGGTCTCTTGTAGTCTCTTTCTCCAACGATTTGCCGGATCCTTACAGAATTAGTTAAGGGAGAAAATACAGGACATGAAAGAACATTTCAATAAAGAGAGCTTCATAAAAAGAACTAACCAGAAATTTTGTAAATGAAAGGCATAATAAATCAAATAAAATTTCATGTGAAAGTTTCTCCAATAGATTATGTAAAATAAATTGCAGAATTTCAAGACTTAAAGTCAAGGAAGAAATTCTTGAACTTTCAGGCAGTTAAAAACAAAACAAAACAAAAACTATGATCAGAATATCCACAAACTCTGGGGCAACAATGAGAGACCTAACTTAAGGATCCATGAAAATTTGGAAGCAGAATAATACAGGCTAAATCTATAACTTATTCAGTAAAATAGTAGCAGAAAAATTATGAACTTTAGGAAAGGGATGGAAATCCAGCTACTGGGGACATCGGAATTCTAGACAGACAAGAATAGGAAAAACTTTTCCACAACATGTCATAACTAAAATGCCAAAAATTCATATCAGAAAAATAAGTCTAAAAACTGTTAAGAGTTTACCTACCGAGCAAAACGAATCACAATAATAGCATATTTCTCAGAAGAAAACCTCAAGTCTAAGAGGCCCTGAAAGAAAATCACTACCAACCCAGATTGCTATATCTTCTTTAGCAGTGAAAGAAATAAAAACATTCCAAGCAATGCAGAAGATACTTAAAGAAATCTTACACACAGAAGACTAAGACAAATAAGAACAATAAAAAGAGCTTGGAAAAGAATGAATCTTATAGGAAGAGTATATGAGTAAATGAGAATTCAGATAAAATAAAACATTACAAATACATAAAAATGGTAGAAAGTAATTAACACCCTTTATTATAACACTGTTTATAAATGGTCTCAATTCTCCAATTAAAAGACAGATTGGGTCCCGTGCAGTGATGCTATAATCCTAGCAATTTGGGAGGCTGAGGCAGGAGGATCACGAGTTCAGAGCCCACCTCAGCAACTTAGCAAGGCCCTGAGCAACTCAGCAAGGCCCTGTCTCTAAATAGAATATAAAAAATGGGCTGGGGTGGGGCTCAGTGGTTAAGCACACCTGGGTTCAATCCCTGGTACCAAAAAAAAAAAAAAAAGAAAAGAAATAGATTGGAAGGTTGGATTAAAAATTATACAACTATATGTTGCCTGCAAGAAACATACCTTACAGGCATAGACATCCACAGGTTTAAAACAAAAGAATAGACAATGATATTCCATGAAAGTGGAACCTGAAAGGAATAGCTACTCTTATATCCAACAAAGTAGATTTCAAGCCATAGTTAGCCAGAGGGAAAGAAGTTCACTTCATATTAGTAATGGAAACAATTCAACAAGATGATATAATGATAGTAAATTTATGTGCCCAAATATTTATGTACTCATTTACATTAAAAACAATAACACTACATGAGTGTAGTGTTCTGAGAACACTATTAGATAGAACCTGAAACAATAATACTTGGGTGATTTCAAAATCTCTTTTACCAAAAGATAGGTCATTTATACATATTAAAAACTCTCCAGAACACACACCCACATCTCTCTCTCTCTCTCTCTCTCTCTCTCTCTCTCTCTCTCTCTCTCTGACTTGGCGAACATCTAGAAAATACTTCCTCCAACAATAGCTGAATTCAATATCTTCTCAACTAATCAGGCAATCTTCTCCAAAACAGGGCATATTTAGGACTCAAACAAGTTTTGTGAAAATAATGTGAAAACAAAGATATAATCCCTTGCATTTTTTTTGGTAAATAAAGGAATCAAATCAGCATAAACCATAGGAATTACATAAACAAACAAAAAGACTGAACAATAATACACTTTTGTGATGAATGAAAAATTGAGAAAATAGGTGAGAAAAAGTAAATAAACCAAGAACAGAGTGACAATATACCAAAATCTCTAGGACACTATGAATACAATTTTAAAAGTTATTGTTAGCAGTGGCTACATAAAAAATGAAAACAATCCCAAATAAACAAGCTAATGATGAATCTCAAGGTCCTAAAGTAAGAACAAAAGATCTGGGTTTGTAATCTCAGCAGCTCAGGAGGCTGAGACTTGAGGATCGTGAGTTCAAAGCCAGCCTCAGCAAAAGCAAGGTGCTAAGCAACCCTGTAAGACCCTGTCTCTACATAAAAATACAAAATAGGACTGAGAATTTGGCTAAGTGGTTGAGTACCCCTAAGTTCAATCCTCACACCTGCCAAGGCCAATGTCTCGGCTTGGCACCAGAATCACGAGCCACCACACACCTTTGTAGGTTCAAACAGCAATTCTTTATTCCCGCTCTCACGCCGCCTCCACACAGGTCCAGGGGCAACCACACAGGTCCAGGGGCAATCACGTTCTGCCGTCTCCTGCACACTTCACCTACTCCACGAGGCTATCTCCAAATCTCATTTTAATCTCACAAGAACTCAACGGGAACAAGCAGCAGGAACACCCTAATCCCAGCAATAATCTTCAATCTCTAACTTCCCTAAAACCCATTATCTTAAACTGGCAACGCCTTAAACTCAAGGAGCCGGTTACTTCCTCAAACCTGATCAGCTCTAAACCCGGATCCGCCTTGGTCCTTGAGCAAGGTCACCTTATTAAAGCATGCATGCAATGTCCCATCGAATGTCCTCTAAGCAGCATGGGGTACGCTTGGCAAGGAAATTTCGATGCATCATTCATACTTGGTAATGGCCCTCAGCACACACCCTCTACAGAAAAGAAAAGAACAAACCAGTAGATGGGAGGAAATAATTAAGATTAGAGCTGGGATTAATGGAAGAGAATGAAATATAATACGAAAAAATTAATGAAACAAAGAATTGACTCTTTGGAAAGATAAACAAGATAGCTAAATTCTTAGCCAAAATAACCAAAAAAAAAAGAGAAAAAAAACCTCAAATAAATAAAACTAAAGATGAAAAAGGAGATATCATCACAGAGATCACTAAAATTGAGACTCACTAGATACTATTTTGAAATTTTATATTACAATAAATTGGAAAATATAGAAGATATGGACAAATTTCTAGACACATGTAACCTGCTGAAATCAAACCAAAAAGTTACAGAAAACATAAACAATACAATAACAAGCAATGACATTGAAGTAGTAAGTTTTTAACAAAGAAAAAATTCAGGACAAGATGAGTTATTGATGAATTCTTTAGAGAAGACCTAAGACCCATAATCCTCAAATTATAATAATGAAATAGAAAAAGGGAGAAAAATCTCCAAATTCATTCTATGAAGGAGTATCACCAGATACTAAAACTGCATAAGGACATATTGAGGCAAAAACTCTACAAACATAGATGCAAAAATCTTGAATAAAGTATTGTCAATTCATATTTAAATTCCCATTAAGAAGATTATACATCATGATCAAGCTGGTTTCAATCAAGGATGGAAGAATAGTTCAAAATATGAAAAATCAATAAACATCATTCTTCACACAAATAGAAGTAAATAGAAAAATCAAATGATCATCTCAAAAGATACATAACAACAAAAAAAAGAAACTTCAAAATTCAGCACCGGTTCATGTTTAAAATACAGAAGAAACTAAGGATAGAAGGTATTTACCTCAATATAATAAAGCATATGCATGACAACACAAATACAACATTGTAGTGAATAGTGAAAACTGAAAGCCTTTCCTCTAAACTAAGGAACAATATAAAGATGTCCACTCTCACCACTCTTTTTCAAGGTATTACTTGAATTAGGCAAGCAAAGGAAATACAAGAGAGATGAATAGGAAAGAAGTCATATTATCCCTTTTTGTTGATATGATGCTATAGAATCCATTAAAATTCCCACCAGAAAATTTCTAGAGCTGATAAAAACAAATACAGCAAAGTAGCCAGGTAAAAACCATTACAAAATTTTGTACACCAATAATGAATCTGCTAAAAAATCAGAAAAAAATTCATTTTCTAACTACTTAGTAATCAATCTAACCAAGGAAGCTAAAGATTTCTCAATGAAAATTATAGAGTTCTTTATATACCCTAGAGATTAGTGCTCTATCTGATGTGTGAGGAGTAAAAATTTGCTCCCAGGATGTAGGCTCTGTGTTCACCTCACAGATTGTTTCTTTTGCTGAGAAGAAACTTTTTAGCTTGATTCCATCCCATTTATCAATTATTGGTTCTTGCACTATAGGAGTCTTATTAATGAAGTTGGGGCCTAATCCCACATGATGAAGATTAGGGCCTACTTTTTCTTCTATTAGACATAGAGTCTCTCTGGTTTAATTCCTAGGTTCTTGATCCACTTTGAGTTTTGTGCATGGTGAGAGATAGGGGTTTAATTTCATTTTGTTGTATATGGAGTTCCAGTTTTCCCTAAAGAACTCAAAAATTAAGCACCAAAAAAACAAATAACCAGATCAACAAATGGGTCAAGGAACTGAACAGACACTTCTCAGAAGAGGATATACAATCAATCAACAAATATATGAAAAAATGTTCATCATCTCTAGCAATTAGAGAAATGCAAATCAAAACTACTCTAAGATATCAACTCACTCCAATCAGAATGGCAGCTATTATAAAGACAAACAACAATAAGTGTTGGTGAGGATGTGGGGAAAAAGGTACACTAATATAATGCTGGTGGGACTGCAAATTGGTGCAGCCAATCTGGAAAGCAGTATGGAGATTCCTTGGAAAACTGAGAATGGAACCACCATTTGACCCAGCTATCCCTCTCCTCAGTTTATATCCCAAAGACTTAAAAACAGGATACTATAGGGACACAGCCACATCAATGTTTATAGCAGCACAATTCACAATAGCTAAACTGTGAAGCCAACCTAGAAGCACTTCAGTGGATGAATGAATAAAAAAAATGTGGCATATATACACAATGGAATTTTACTCATCAATAAAAGAGAATAAAATAATGGCATTTGCAGGTAAATGGATGGCGTTGGAGAAGATAATGCTAAGTGAAGTTAGCCAATTAAAAAACAAAACAAAACAAAAACAAATGCC